TCGTCAGTCACATCATACCATAAAATATCACATGACTCACAAAATAGAATAGTTTTATTATTATATATATAGGTAAAAATTATACTAATGACTATTGAAAAACCTCTGGAGATCCTCTTCAAAATCTGTTGAGGGCTAGTCAGAAATAATACTATACACTGTGAATTATATGAACTAACGAAATGACAGGTGCATCAAAATCTTATAGTAGAAGTAGGTTTTCTACAAAAGCCTCTGAAAAACCTATGAAAAGCTCTTTTAGAATCTCGAAAGTTATACTAAACTTTAGTTCAAGCTTTATCTGGTGGTGTATCGAAAAGTTAAATTTGTTTTTTTTTGAGCCAAATAATTTGCATTTGAAGGCTGAAAACTCATGCAGGATTCCAGAAATGTTTTTGAAAATTTCGTTAAAAAGTGTACTAGAGTGTTCATAAACTCCTACGTTTGTTCAAATTTTCATTCTCGATCGTACGGTGTACTTAAAATTATTTCGGCATCTTTCATAGGCTGATAAACTGAAATTTGAAAAATGTACACATTTTAATTTTCAGAATTCACAACGCTTGCTGGAGGAAAACCATAGTTTTCTAGAACTCACACTTTGTAAGGTTTTCAAATTGTGAATCGCCATTTGAAAAAGCACCCTCTCAAATGCTTAACTCCTGCTTTTATCAAAATCGGACTAGCAGTTTAGGATTTCGTTTTGCCAGTTTGCACGCCTATTGGAAGATGTCCTCTGGGATCAGCTAATATCACGATAAAACTCTTCCAAAACGTTGACACTATTGAAGATCGGGCATCAACGTTGACAGAAGCTGTCGCTTCAGCCGACCCAGCAATCATTAATTTTTCAAACAAGAAAAGGTAGAGTAGCTCAGTAGGCAATAAAAATAAAAAGATTTTGAAAAATAAAATATTATTTTTTGACTAGCAAAGTCATTGATCCATAGTTTCTCTTGTAGTTTTATCTTTTTTTTCAACACTGTAATCAAGTATTCGTATGAAAAATATAAACACGCCCTTTGTGATCGGTGTAGGCCGAATCGACACCTGTTGTGTGCATATATAGCATTTTTTCACCCCTTTGAAAAAGATTTTCGGTTTTGGTCGGGTCTTGAAAAAACAAGAACCAATCCCACCGATTCAGATAACATAAATATTAAATATTTGTAACTGAAAGAAGATATATGCATCGAATTGCTTTTGATTCATAAAAATGTTTTTAACACGCTTAAAAAATCCGAATTTTATCAAACTTATTCATTTTATGACATTTTTTGTTACTTGTGGTTTAACTAATACAGTATGAAATATAAGAAATTTTGCATAAAATGTAGAAGAAAGATGAGGCTTTGTCGTGTTATGGTTAGAACAATTTGAATTGCTTTCGATGCTCTCAGAACCTTTTACACTTTTTGCAACTTTGCCGCGGTTTTTCTAGAATATTTCGCATTTTCAACACCAGTCCATGTAGAATGATTATTTGATCAGTTTCGAACATGGGACGTTCGTTTGTTATTTCAGAACAGCTGGTGGCCATACTTTATCTAGTTTTAGAGGAAACTCTCGTCTATTTTGAGACTTTATAAGTTATGAGGTGATTTTTAGACTATGACTTCGAATTCTGATAGAAATTTTTGAGAAAAGAATAAATTTTACTTTCGTTTTAAAAAAAGAATGAGTTTGCCTGATTCGGGATTAAGAAAAATGGCCTTCAATAGAAAACCACCCGTCATCTTTCAACTGTTGATCACGACAGATGAGTATGTCGTCTTTTACCCTCTAAGACGTAGAGTTAGTGTTTAATGTTAAAAAGTGCATATAATAGTTTTGGGGCTTCACATTTCAGTAGTTATTAGAGTCATAACTTCTTTTTAGCCCTTCAAAGCATGTCAAGTTTTTGTGTAGTTAAGTAATACTTTCTCTCAAATATTTCTTTGAAAATTGATTTGTATCTCTCAAGAATATCGATTCAATAACTACCAATTTTTTTCCAAAAAAAAGGAAGAAAAACAATATTTTAGGTCAGTTAACCATGGGTATGGTGCATCTCACTGTGGTTCGCCTGTCAGTTGGTAGAATTAATTAATAATTCTTCATAAATTCTTCAGTATCCTCAGCAGCCTATTACTCTCTATCAGTATATGGTGTGAGATATTTTAATGTTATGCCAGATATTTTCTCTATTCATCTGCATAATCAACCTAATGTAAATAGCACTCTTTCTCAATTTTCCAGATTTTTCCACAAGAAGATGATTGCCTTGTGCGTATAAATAAGGATAGAATATGCTTTTCATTCGTACTACACAAAGTTAACATTTCATTTGCATAGTATCTCTATAAATGACATGTTTTTTTGTACTACAAATTTACCTAGTCAGCAGAAATTGTGAGACTATGAAGAGTTGGATTAGTGAGATAATTAGAAAATTAACTCTATAGTTCAAAATACTGCCTTCGATCTATTGCATTTCGAATGATAGAACTCAAGAGGAAGAAATTTTCATACCTGAAAAAAAAGTTGAACAACTTCTTTAGATTTTATTGTAGTAGTTCATGTTTGCACAAAATCGTGACTTTTCGGATTTTTTTTCGATTTAGTCCGATTAACAATTAAAAACACTCATTTCTAAAGTCTACCAATTTTTACTTCGGATAGAAGAAAAAAAAATTGCTCCATTTCAAGAGTTCAGATCCATCTCCAAAAACCGATTTCGCAAGGATCTCTTCGATAAGTGCCTGTGGATCAAATTAGTTCCTCTTTTCCCCATCTTCCGTCATAATATTCTATCATACATGATTCAAATCTAAAGTGAAGTTATTTCGGAGATAAGACATTTCAAAAACGTATTCCTATTGAGTAGGTCTATTTCAACACAAAGTGCATAACTAACGCTCTCGTTCCTACTCCAGCTAAGTTACAATGACTTTTCTAAGTTTAGTTTAAAAAAATTTATCTATGTATTTCTAGTATTAACGTAGGATAAAAGCTTGAACAAATTTTTCCTTCAAATATAGTATGTCAATAAAAAAAAGTTCAACCTTTGCTGCGAAAAAAGAAATACCTGTTTTATAAGGTTAGAGGCGCGATAATAATAATTGAAAATCAGATCGAATCTAAACTCAAGTCCTATGGTACAGCACGCTTTTTTACCAACACCTCTTCATTCAAATTTAATGAATAAGATCCATTATATTTTAAATGTGTACACATACGTATTGCCAGTTGTATAACTTGAAGGTGAGTAGTTATTCAGTTAGAGTGCCCATACAACAATTATTCATGTGTGAATGAATAGTTTCTACAACCGAGTTTCACACAGAAATCGAGAAATAAAGTGTACAGCTTTTTGTACTGAAAGCCCTTGAAATATTACACACAAGATTCTGAATTATTTTCTTATTGTTATCCATACTTTATGGGATATTTTGCATATATCAGACAAGCTGGTTAGCAAACCTTAGATAATAGATTGCTGTAATCATACTGGCTTTCGCATAGGTACTAGTACTATAGGTACTAGAAAGTAAATCCTCGTAAATGTACTTGAATACGATGCAAGCAGACATGTGCGCCGACAAAAAGTTTTCGACGGCGGCGAATGAATTTCTGAACATCGGCAGCGGCGGTGCAAGGCTATACTATTCTCGCGGTTGTTCTCTTTTCTGCATGGTAGCACTATATTATTTAAAAGCCTTCGGTGTTTTTGGGCTTTCCTTTGTTACAAGATGTTTTCTTGGGCATAAAATAAACTGTCAAGGCTCTGAAAATTTCATCCGCTCTTCGGCGGCGGCGCGTAAAAATTGGTTATCGGAGGTGAATCTCCAAATTTTGACTAAAACAATATTCTCTTTCATTTCCGGCACGTTTTTCGTGGACTAGGCACATTCTTCGTGGACTAACTGTACCTGTATATTGTCGTAAGCGAAAAGATAGAAAAGCGCTGCACGCTGGATGTCTAAGATAAGAACGTACCAACAGAAAGAGTAGAAAACTCTGCATCGTGTAGTTTGTGTAAAATCAAAGAAAATGGCACACTCTGTGCTTCAAGCAAACAAAGAAACAACGTATTCTGTTCACGTTTTGATGTGAAATACATAGAATATTCGCTGCTCACTTATCACTCCGAAGAAAAAAGTCGAATAACAAGATTACATCTATATTCAAAACATTTTGCTGTAGTCGGAACTTAAAAAATTTATCTCCGCTCTCGGCAGCGGCGGCGGAAGTCAAAACAATTTTTCTTCGCCTTCCGCGGCGGCAATAAGTCTACAAACCGGCGCGGCGGCGCATATCTCTGGATGCAAGTACTTGCTCAAGTATTCTCGTTACTTTTGTCCAACACTCCTGAGACTTTCGCAAGTAAATCAAATACTTGTAAAAAAACCAAGTACTTAAATGACTTTATCTTAGTATTTTGTCCAGCACTTCCTCAAATAATCAGTAAGCACCTATGAGAAATCAAACAAGAAAACCAAATATTTCAGATCTACCTGGGCAAGTGATTACCAAGTGGTATTTTATAAGAATCCTTGTTAGGTCGCTGTATCATCGGCTAAATGTCTACGAAAATTCACAGATAAACAAATATCCACTTTGGTTTAAACCATTTATTTACCTAACATATGAGTACTGTGACAAAGTGTAATTATATATGCCACAGACTCTTGTACAATAAAATAATAATGAAGTGCAGAAAGAAAGAATTTTATATCCACTTTATTATTGGTTTTTGCGCAACGGAACTGTTTTTAATTGGCCTACCTGTGCGGACAAATATTTTTTAAATTTCATACTATGTCTGTCGATCGGTCATTATTAGAGGCATTTCTTCCCTCTACTTTTTTATCTTTGCGATATCCCTGTTCTGACTTTGTGTTTGATACGGTAAAATGAGTATGTAATTGGAGAAAAATAACACTCTTCAAGGTGTGGAATAGCAAAAAAATGTGGTTGTTGCGTAGAACGTTAGCTATTTGTATAGAAACAAAAGTGTGATGACGATTGCTCTTGACGACGACAATAAGCGAAACCAGGTTGATTACCCGAATGGCGCACGATTTGAAGGCACTTACAAAAATGGGAAGAAATACGGTTATGGTATTCTGAGATTGGGGAATGGAACACAATATGAAGGTGATTTTGAAGACGATAAAAAACATGGTCGAGGATCGTATGTATGGCGAAATGGTTCGCATTATAATGGAGAATTCAAAAATGATCAGCCAAACGGTTCTGGAAAATTGATGCATGCAAGCGGTGATGAATATGAAGGTTCATGGTTAAATGGGAAAAAACACGGTGAAGGACGAAAAAGATGGGCCAATGGAAATTCATACCAAGGTGAATATAAAAACGGTGTTAAAGAAGGTCGAGGTATTCACAAATGGGCCAACGGATCACAATACGATGGTGAATGGAAAAATGATCAACCGCATGGTAAAGGAGTTCACATTTATGCTAATGGAGATGCGTATGACGGTGACTTTGTCAATGGACAACGACATGGAAAAGGTTTAGTTATTTATTCATCGGGTGACAGGTATCACGGTGATTATGAAAATGACGTGAAACAGGGAAGGGGTATTTATACGTGGGTAAACGGCGATGAATATGAAGGTGAATGGAATCAGGGTAATCCAGAGGGAAAAGGAGTATTCCTTTGGGCAAATAGTGGTATAGAAGAACAACCAAATCTGGAACGCCAGTCTTCTCAAAATACAGAAGAACAAGAACTTACACGGAAATTAGAAAAAGCACAAAGAAATGAACAAGGTGATCAGATTAAAAAAACTAAACGAACAGAAAAACTTAAAGTCGCACACAGCAGTGAAGAGTTGGATAAAATTGAACCAAACAACAAACTAGCTCGCACACATAGTGTTGAAAAGCCGGAGTCTTCAGCTACAAAAGTAGATAGACCACGAAAATCAAAGAAAAAAAGCATGGATATGGAACATGCGGCAGTATTTTAAAAGCAAAACTATGTCAACATGTACAGATTGAAATGCTCGTAAATATTTGCTTCAAGTGAAAAAACTGATGTGACTATTCCACTACGTCTTTTTTAATTACAATATCTTTTTGATGTGCTCCAGTTTTTTTGTTATGTTTGCTAAACGAATATCCTTACCTTCTCTTAAAATTATGGATTATGAATTAGTAATCGCTACGATTTAGTATAAATGTTTTTTTTGTCTGAAAAATCAGTACTTTGTCGAAAACGAATTTGCTGAGCTAAGTAAAACAAAGCTTTTCATATTTCATATTAAGAAAGTTAGTTTGATTTTCTCTTTTTTGTCAACAGTCTTCGAGAGCAGAACTGGTAATCTCTACTATGTGAATATTCCGTTCGTTTTTCTTTTCTTTTTAATGTTTGTTGCACTATTATCGGCGCTAAAATACAAGTCTGGTCGTTATTTTTTGAATAACTCAAGAGGAATAAAAGATAGAGACTTGCGGTTTTCATCATTCTTTTAGAAGATCTGCGGAAAACTAGTACGGTTCTCTGAAAGCTGACATAGAAATCTATGGATTTGTTTTCATACATATATAGTCCGAAGTGTCCTCTACAAAACTGGATCTAAGAGACATCTTAGAAATTCATGGTTCGGAAACTATGGACGTTTTTCCAGAAGCCTTAGCACTCCTCAGTCGTTAGGCTTTTACACACAGGAAAATATATGCCCGGCCAACCGGCCGGCCCGATCCAGTCAGAAATTTTTCGACCGGTTACCGGCCCGGTCGAGAAAATCTTGACCGGCTACATCTATGAGTCATCGTTGTTACTCGAATTGATTGAAACATTTTCGATAGTGAAAATATATCAAATAAGTCACCTTTTTTAGCATGATAAAATAATATCAGTTATTGACAGGTTTCGTCAGTAATCTACGAACGATTAGTTTACGGTGAAAAACAACACAAAAAACAAAAACAGTGTGGGGAGCATAGTGTGCATTTTTCGCATGGCACGCGAACATGTGACTTTTTTTATCCGAAACGCTTCTTTTTGCTTAGAAATGATTGTCTATGACCCAGAGAATAACCCTGAACCAAAAGAATTCTTTTCGAAAAATTTTCTTTTTTCGGTCGAAAATTCCTGAAGGAGTCAGTCGTTTGTTCGAATTTTTTCGAAAAGTTTTTTTTGTTTAGAAACGTTTTATGTCATACAATCTTCAACGCAGTTTTTTCTGGACTGAAAAAGTTGGATCTTTCTAAACAACCTAAACTGCGAATTTTTTTCGCTAGTTGATAGTGTCTCGATTCAGAACATATGTCGTTTTAGCCTATAAGTCGGTTGCTTTCTATAATAAAAGCGTACGTATTTCTGGTGCTAGTGTTTTCAGCCTTAGTTTAGGCTAGATCTCTTTCCACGTTTCTTAACATTTATAAGAAAACCTTTTATGCCAGCAGATAGCGTATGCCTTGAAGTTTAAAGTACAATTAGTGGGAAAAGTGTTCGTATGATGAATAAGAAAAAATTGTAACACCATTATCTCCTGAGGGAGAAAGAATAGAAAAATTTATTTGGTCTACCTAAAACTCATGAAAAGATAATTTTAGATATACCGTTGGATAGCACTTGAAAAACTGCATGTATCTGTTATAGTTTAATTATAATTCACTAGTCATCTCATGTTATTTCAATCAATTTACTTTATCCGCTCATTGGCGATATCCTGAGTATAAATAATTCACTAATCTGTTTATTTTCAGTGTTTAATTCAGGTGTAAATTTTTTTTTAAGAGAACAAGTTAGCAGAGAAAAAAATTCTCTAGAAGATGAACTATTTCATCTTTAAAAGCAATTAACGACTAATAAGGTGCACATCATTCTATTCAGCATACTTTTAGATATACATTCTGCCAATACAGAAAGAAAGGAAAATGAAACAAGAAAAAATATTGTTCTATGTTATGTAAAAGTATGCTGAATAGAATAATGTGCACCATATTAGTCGTTAATTGCTTTTAAAGGTGAAATAGCTCATATTGTAGAGAACTTTTTTTCTCTACTAAAACAATTTATACTTGAATTAAACATTAAAAATAAGCAGAGTAATGAATTATTTATACTCAGGATATCGTCAGTGAGCGAATAAAATAAATTGATTGAAATGACATGAGATGACTAGTGAATTGTAATTAAACCATAATGGATACATGCAGTTTTTCAAGTGCTATCCAATGGTATATTTAAAGTTACCTTTTAATAAATTTTTCTATAAAAATTTGACTAATTAATTGAAAATACGACTTTCATCTCAGCTATAATTAATTATTTTTGATAATTTCTTTTTTTCATCGTGTAGTCCAAACGTTGCTCTTTCGAATGGTAGATAAACAAAAATTCTATCTGTTCGATAAATATCAAAATAGAAGTGAAAAAGTGATCATACGAACACACATTGACCGAAAAAAGCAAATCAAAATTAAAAAACTTCTATTTTTTGATAGAAAAATTTGAGATAAAAGCTTGCTATTAACAAGGAATACAATTGAGATTGAAGGCTATCAAATGGTAAAAAAGAAATTTTTCTATCCTTCCTCCTTCAGGAGATAATGGCGTTACAATTTTTTCTTATCCATCATACGAACACTTTTTACGAACACAAAAAATGATGTAAAACGCAGAAGGACTACATGTGCATCTGGACAATAACCATTACAATTTTTCATGTACGGTACCCTACGTGATGTGAACGGATCGCTAACAATTCTATATATTTCTAGACTTATTTTCCTTTTACTAAAAATACCGTTCATATTTTCGTAACCGTTAATAAAACAATGAAAACATTTTTTTGTTAACGGAAAAATAGGAACCGTTAACAAAAAAATGTCCGTCCAGTTAACAAAGAAAGGAGAAAATACCCCATAATGCTATTGTATTTAGCATGTAAAAGTAAAATGACCAATATATACTAGATTATCCTAATTTCTCGATCGTTTAAAAAAACATGACATCAATTTTTCTAATAGAATTTTATAATTAAGTTAGTAAGATAATATAGCATATAACCACAAAACTAGATCGAGTTCATAGAAGAAACCAGGATGATAGTGGTTTTGATGTAGTCAAAGTTTTTTATTTAACTTTTTGTCAGTACCATTGTCAATTTAATATCTAGGACATGAAAATAAATTATTTATTATTTGATTTCTTTTTTTTTCTAGTAGAAATTTCGCAAATATAACTTTGTAAGTTAGGGATAATTGAAAATAAGTAATTAAACAAATATGGATTTTGTACTGTATCAAGCATGTTTCAATCAATAAGGTATAAACAGTAAAAGTCTTCTTTTTTTTTCTAGTAAAAATGAGATTAGAAATGTCAAGTGTAGTTAAATACAATTGAATCTTGTTTAAATATGTTGGTTTAAACATTGTGTGTTGATTAATATTATTGGCTTTCTTGTATGAGAGCATTTTTATAACTTCTTTATCATCAGAAGAGAAAAGATCAATATCAAGGTAGTTATTTATTAATAGGATACTTTCATTTTATAATATTTTTGGGGTGGGGGAAATTTGATATTTTCTGATCAGCTTTTTTCTCTGTTCGGATGTGATAGAAGAATTGTTCTGCTTCCAGATCATTTATACTCAAAAAACGATTCATTAATGGTGTAAAAACAACATAAAGACGGTTCCTTACCATAAACTGCTCGTTTCAAGAACGTTAATTAACAATCTAGAAACGGATCATTCACTGGACTGACCGAACAGAGTCGTTTTTTGTCAATGGAAAAACGGTTCAGGCAGCTAATGGCCCCCGTTTATAGACCATTTTGTCGATAAGTCATTCGTCTCTCTTTGTATTGATATCACTAGTAGTAGTATATATATATAAAACACTAATTTTCTTCGAATAACTTAGAATTTTTCCCTTCTTCTTACATACAAGGCAATAAAACTTGATTAGAGGAAGTGATCCTTACTAGCTAGGCTTGGTACTAAAGATAGTACCTTAGTCTTAGGGCGGGCGCTAGAAATGATACTAGAAA